ATTAAACACTTATCAATGTAGCTGCAAATGTATGTGGGCCCCGTCTTTATATATTCTTATTAAATATTACATAACGTATATTCTGCTATTATTTTTCATAGCTAAAGAGAGCAACAAGAACAATGAAAGAAAGAAAAAGATAATACCATTTAAAAAAATACCAAGTGCGTACACAGAGGGTAATCATTGTATGTTACAATTTATAATGATTGTACGTTTAATATTTTTTTTTTCTGTTTTACTCTCTTTTTGTTTCTCTAATACGTAAAACAACAAGGTAGTTACAATCATGTGCTAGTGCAAGTCTTTTGCGCAGATGAACGTGTGAAAAGAAAGAAAAGAGAACAAGTGAAATTGTACATGCACTATGATTTTTGTCAATGGTCGCGTTATTTTCAACCTATATGGGTCGGTAGGTGGTAATTTTTTTGAACAATAGAAAAACCAAATTGTTATACACATACTTGAAACTATTATTTGTTAGCGTGACGTTGTTGCAGCATAATGATTTATCGTTGGATCTGTGTAAGAGAGAGCCAAACGAGATATTATTTATACATGCATTTTTGCTGTAGAAGTTAACAAACAGAATGGTACGCAAGATTTCCAAGAAACAGTACACTGTGTTAGTTGATAACTTGCAGATGTGTTTGGAAGTACTGGGAATACCGTCTGGCCGACTCATTTAGTTGTTGCATTTTTCAATAATACACCGTCACATCAATGTATTCTTGTTGAATTATTCTATCTTGTAACTTACTGTTGTAACATATACCCCATTCATGTCTAGTGTCAAGCAGAGCTGATTCTATGCTTTTGCTAGTTGAAAAACCAGGGCAAATATGTTTTCAAGCGAAGAAAAGAGGGAAAGAAACAGAAAGCAGAGTGCGAAAATTTAGTTGATTATTCGTATGTTTAAAAGGAAATGGGACAAGTTTCAAAGAATTTTTCATACCGTTGATATTGATTTAGGAACAGGCGTGTGGAAAGCAAATCACAAAACTAAGTAACGAACGGAAGAATCAGTGCTGGCGAAAACACGAGGCAACAACCGAAAATTATTATAAAGTTAAAAAAAAAACGTCACATTTAAGATACTTTTAAAACGGATACATATTTGGAAAGTAGGAGGTAATCATTGTATAAATGTAGTGGCAACTCTATAATACTACAGAACAAAAAAAAAAATCAATATATTCAACAATTATTCGAAATACTAAATGCAAAATGCACTTTAATGGATGTTGTAACAATTTAGAGTATTCAAATTGCATCAACATTTTGCTGTAAATCTGTTCTTTGGAACGCAACTGCTCTGCTAGCTGAACGGATATTTTTTTTTAAGAATACAAAAAAACTAATGAAATCACTAATGAAAAAACTAATGAAAAAAGAAAAGAATACAATGATTGCGTATTGGGAAACAAGGAATGCTGTTTTTCTTTATCCCCAACGAGCAGAGAAGTTTCTCCAATGACAGATATTTTAAGTTTGTTTCTTTTGAAGGAAAAAAAAAGTATATATATATATTTATCTTCGTTTTTTCTTGTATAAATGCAATTACACGACACACATGCAAAGTAAAGAGAACGGCAATGGTTCATAGAGATTCTCTGTTGAGTTGAAGAGAAAAATAATGAAAGTTTTGCAGAACACGCTGCACGGTTCGATATAAAGGAAACAAACTTTCTATGAAGATTTTGTAAAGAAAGTTGTTCGTATGAGAGGTTCTCGGGGATGGTTGGCTGACATTTTCGGAAGTTTAATGATTTATTAAAACGTGTTGTCATGTCTTGAATACAATTAAAAGAACTATAAAAAGAAAGAAAATGATAATTTTGTGAATTTATCTTCTATTTCATTTCCTTCTTTATCAGTGCGCACTACCTTCTTCAATTTAATGTCGCGTTACTGCCGAAATTACTATTATTCTGTTACTTTATGAAAAAACGCAAATTGTAATAAGAATCATTAAAATTATAATTTGATCTCGAGTATTCATTTAATTAAACGAGATAGCACATCACGTTATTTGTTTGCGTTATTTGTTTGTTCCAGTTCTTCAAAACTTTTTCAAACATGACTATCAATTTCATTAGAAATATTTAGTATCATAAAGCGGTGTGATTTACAGGATAAATGTACAACTGATTTTTATACTCCTCGATGTTGGTAATGTGAAGCGCGGATTTGTCAAGCTCGGTAGCAGGAACGTAATTTAATAAATATTTCACGTTCCCATGTTCTTTTATTTTTGAATTAGCTGCAAAAAAAAAGAAAAATGAACAATGTTTTCATTCAACAACGCGATGCGACAACACAGTACAATACAAAATTGATGCACTTACAATCAGTTGCATTTGCCTCGATATCTTTGTTATTCTCTGTATCCGTATCGACTGAATTTGCAGTTCCAACTACTTGCACACTTAATTTCCTGAAGCTACTTCCGTTAAGCGTGTGAGATCTCATCCATTCCCTTAGTTCCTCGATCTTTATGTGTTCGATTACACTCAGTTCCTTTTCTATTTTATCAAACATGTAATCACCACTTATAATTTCCGTCCAGTTCCTATCAACTTCTTCTTTCAAGTGTATGTCCGCGCATTGTTTCAACTTTATTACTGCTTCTTTAACACTGTCCAAATCGTCCTCCGAGGTTTCTTTCAAGATATTGTTAAACATCTCCAAAAACGCTTCTATTCTCTGATCCACAAATTCGGTGCTGTATTTATCTGCCTGAGTGTACACTGTGACAGTATAACCGAGGATACCGAAGGTATCCCTTAGTAAACAGAACACATTGTAACCAAGCTGCTCGAGTGTTCTGAGCTGATTAAAAACAGGTTCTTCCATAATCATCTGGATCAGGATTAATACAGAGATATTTATTACACAATGTGTATACTGCAAGTGATACTATTTAAATTTCTACTTACAATTAACAATTCGATAATAACTAACAATCTAATGGATGAAACCCCGGACTGATAGTAATTCATCACAACGGAGTTCACGTCTGTACTATTGAAGTTTTTTACTTTGCAATAATGCGAGCCGATTGGTATTTGCGCCACTCTCATTTGTGACATAGTATTTGGCAACAATGGGCCGCACTTCAATGCCTTTACACACTCTTGAACGTTTTTGATCACGTCTTCCTTCGTCATGTTCCCTTGTACTAAGCACTGAATATAAATGTGGCCAGTAAAATGTTTAACAAAGTTCTGGAATTCAGAAAATTCTACGTTACGAATAGCAGCATGTTTATCCATAGCCGTCCAATGGACAAGCATTAGGATTGATAATCTCACGTCTCTGAAACATTTTAAGCAAAAAATATCATAGATGTGTGGAAAATATAGATGTAAGTTTTAAGACTTGCAAAAACTCAGTACCTACCGAACTAATCTTTTGGGTTTCACAAAGCTGTTGTAGTATGTTTTAATTTCTTCTTCCTTCATCACTTCGAAGAATTCTTTAGTTATTAGCGTCGGAATATCAGCTATACAGTTCGCAATGGTCATCAGCAAAAGCTACAAACAAGAATAAGAAAAAAAGAAAACACTAAACCAAATGAGTAATTATTTAAAAAAAAAATTATTGCGATCGTTCTTACTGGCAACTTCTGACTGAATCCATTCACTTTAAGCACAATACCCTTTTCATTTGTGTAAATGTTGTGGTTCAATTCAGCAACTGTAGCTGGATACAACGTTTCCACTAACAATTGCTTCAATATGGCAACAAACAAATCCATTATAGCTACACTGAAATTTTAACGATCTTTGTCAAGAAATTCACATCTTTTTTTCGCGAATATTCCTATAATATTTACCCTTTCAGCGAACAAACAGCCATCGGTGATATGATACAAAAGTACATGTAACATTCGGGCAGGCCAAACTTTGGATCAGGTCGGTACCAAACCTCCGTTATCTCGTCTGAATAAATCTTCGTGGGATACTTTGGAACACCAGGTGGTATTGAAATTAAACTGAAATCGTCTGTGATATACTTGTTGGCCAATGGTAAATGAAATTCGGGAAAAGGTTCGATAGTTCTCCAGCATTCTATCCACTCTTGAGAAATCTCCGTGTCCGTGTATTTAGTTTTAAACCAAGGCTCTATTTTGTCAAACTCCTCGTCATTAAATTTCTTATCAAAAATTATAATGTTTACATCGTCCGGTATTAAATAATTTAGGCAAGTTTGTATAGCTTCTGGATTGTATTCGAAGTACAATTCGCTTCCGGTGATGTAATCACGGGGAGGATAATAGTGCATGTTTTCGCACAAATCTTCCACGTATTCCGCTGGCGGTGACTCGTCTGTAAATCTGCAGAGAAAATCTTTTTCGTTTTTAATCATTCTAAGTATTAACTTATTATTGATTACTTTAATTCACCTGAAATTCATTTCCTTGATCTGATGGATCTCATCATAAATCTCTCTCTGAGGGCCTTCTCTGCGCATTAAATTGATGAACGAAAATACAGCGTTCAGCACCTCCGGCAAATGTTTGTGCCCTTGTTCCGTCAGCATCAAAGACAAGCTGAACAACGCGTACATCGAACTGTGCTCGAAGCCGCTTTCTCCGTTTCCGCAAGTAATACCGAGACACCACATTTTCCTCCTTAAATAACCGATCAAAGAACCTTTTCCTTCGTATCCCAAAATCCAAGAAACGTATTGATGTGGTTTGCTTTTGTACAAATCGTGAAGAGGTGGCATGCACCATGTTAATTCTACCTGCAAACGAAACATTATCAATCTCTAAATCCTTTTGTTTTTGTAAAATCACGTACCTCACACACATCTTTTATGGGCTTTATTTTATAAATTCGTCTAAAATTCAGCGTGTTGAACGAATCTACACCCTTAAACGAACTAAAATCGTCAGGTGATAAGCTGTTATTTGGTACATTCGCAAAGCATTGTATTACATAGTCTTCTAATACGTCCAGTGGAAGTCTGGCCTGCGAAAATTGAGGAGAAAAGTTTGCAAGTTAACATTGCATCTTTGCGAAAAGTAAATTTTGATTTTGAAAAAAATGCACTGACTTGTATGGCAAGTTTCATTCGGTGAGCACTGTAGTGACGCTCCCTGAACTTGTGCAACTCTTTGTAGAGTTTCTCGTCCGTTACGTTGTCTCGTAACGTGATTAAATTACCCCAACAGAACTTCATGGCCGGATGATTCGGCTGTGCAAAACTACTGAACAATTGTTCTTTTCTACAAAAATCAGAGGGCAAGGCCATCTGAAACTCTGTATGGATCGTTTAATCTTGATTAATGGTGCTAAAATGATTTAACATCGCTGTAATGAACATCTCTGACACGTACCGCTTTCCACGGATTCACGTTCTCTCGTTATAGCCTCTTTTTTCATCAAAGGTTTGATAAAAAATTGAGCAAACCGATCGAGGGCAGCTAGGAGGTGTTTCTCTTGTATCTCGAAGTAGAATGTCGTCAATTCACATTCGGTGGATGCATTGTCCGATCCACCTCTTTTTTTAATGAATGTATCGAAATCATTCTCCTGTTAATACGTGCAAGTGAGATAAAAATCCATAGGAACTGCAATATCTCTTCAAGATAAATATACCTCGGTGTATTTCTCTGACCCCATGAAAACCATGTGCTCCAGGAAATGCGCCAAACCCGGGATTTCTGGTGGGTCGCTGAAGCTTCCCACACCTACTGACAATCCACATGCTGCCTGCGTAAGAAACATGCGTAGCAGCACACTAAGAATATATATTTAATAATTCATATATCTCGTATAAGTCGAGCACTGTACGATATGATTCTCAACGAAAGATACCATTTTCTCTTCCCCTTTCACCGACTTGGGGCACGGACAAGAATCATCAACGCCTTTGTCACAGTCTGACTGATCGTCCTCTGTGTCGCTCTCTTCTCCGCTTTCTTCCTCCTCATCCTCTTCATTCTCAGTCTCCTCGTCATCTTCTATCTCGCTTTCGGTACTTACTGCGTTTTCTGTTGAATACCAAATATTTACACTTTTGTAAATCATCAGATTTCAAGCAAGAACAAAGAAAGAAATAAGAGAAAAATCTGTACAAGAAGCACATTTTCTGTCTACAAAAAAATACATTCTCCTTGTGCATTCGTTTCCTTTACCTTTGTCAGCACATTCATCATCCTCAGTGCAGAAGGAGTGTAGGTCAGCAATTAACAAAGCAGTCAGGCCATTCTCCAAATTGATCACTCTGTGAAATTCAAGAAAATGAAAGAAATATATATACACATATATGGATGTACTTTTATCTTTTACCTGTATTCTTTCTTGTCATTCTCCGCCTTAACAGGCGTTTCCAAGTACACGACCTTCTCCCGTGGCTGTCTCGTATCGCAAATCGAGGTTTCCTGTTTTGTAACGCATACGGATGTTTCCTGCTTTGTAACGCACACAGATGTTTCCTGCGTTTGATTTTCCGCTTGCACTTTGTCGATGATCATCGTGTCCGTATTGAGGTTATGTTCTACGGAGAGGTTGGAGAGGTTTTGCGCCGAGCTGACAGAACCTTGGTTCGGTTTCAATTTTTTTTCAGGCGGGCTCTGGAGCGATCTCTTTGGCATTATCAACGCGCAGGGCCGTGTTTTAATTGTACATTGGAGAACCTTTGCGATAAGGCACTTTCGCAACTGTGTCACCATACGCAACAAAACCTTACCCTAACCTTACTACACAGCTTGCTGATCGTATCAATTCAAACAATTCGTTCCATCTTCATCTGTTTTGTTACACGTACGTGCGTTGCCTTGTAACACGAAATATCTTAAAGCGTTGATCTCTTTTCTCCTTTTCCAAACTACAGAATGTACGTCTATTTTGATGAAGTTAATCTATTTCTTTTTTTTTTGTAACATTCTTTACAAATGGAAATAATAATCATCATAGTTTTTACCATTCATGTTGGACGTATTATATAAAATTAAGATGTAATAAAATTTCACTTTCCTTTTTTATGATTATTGCTATATATATGTATATGTATATATATATGTGTGTATGTATATATATGTATATACATGTACATACACACATATGTATATTATTTTTCGATTTACTAAGTATTTACAAATTCCACTTGCATTTTATAGGTTAAGTGAAACATAGGAGGCTTTACTTGAAAAGGATCGCAAAAATTCATTCAATTTAGATTTTTTAAAAATAAAAATATCGATCGTTACGAATTTTGAAACGAGAACATCATCACATATATATATATATACCTCGTCATTGACATTACGTAGTGATGAAATCGATCGCTATTCTTGTCATGCGAGATAAATTTTTCCCTGTATCGCACCACAAACGAGAATCGAACGCTATTGCGCTGCCATCTATTGCGTTTAATTTGAACTATATAAAATATATTAAGTGGATAAGTAAGGTATCGTCTGTATCAAAAATAAATAGATCTGTATAATTGAAAGGTTCTCTGATAGATTTGAGATTTAGTTTCCCAGCATCTCTTTCTTTCATAGGCCATGATTTCATTAATTATTTTATTTCACTGGTAATGTCCACACTCGCGAAAGAAAGCGTGATAGTTATTTTAACAATGTAGGCATTTCACTTTCATTGCATTTATGCTCTTTTATTGAGGTACTTACTTCCACATCTCGCACATACTTTGTTGTTTCTGTAACGCTTGGTAGTGTGGCTGTATTTGTAGCAATTTTTATATATTTTTATAGGGTCAACATAGACATAGACTTTTATATTGTAAAGACCAAAAATTTTAAAGTACTCTGGTAAGATACAGCACAACAGTCTCGCTAGGAACCTATTCTATTCCTTCGGGTGTTATCGTTTTTCTGTTCAATCTGAAGGCTTTCGTGATTTTGCATGGCGATACAGATTTATTTATTATTTCCGTCATATTTACGTCAGTTGGAATGCCCCTGATCAGTCCCGTTTTTACCAGTTTGAGAATATGGGCTTGCAATCCACATTTGTTTAGCTCTTCTGAATTGACAAACGCATTTGCATAGTCCCTGTTGGGGAAGGAAATCTTCGAAGAATCTCGCACTCATGTTTATAGCACCTTTTAGGCAGCTATTATTCTGATTATGAACATAAGATTCTGGTTTTTGGTTTTTTTAAATTCATTTTTTATCTAACCTCTACGAAGTTCCTTCGTGCGTGGGAGGATAGAATGAGAATGAAAAAGCCAATTGAAAGGATCAATTTGCAAACTTTTGTGATGCAACTTCTCAAAAGCCCTCAACTTCCTTTCTAGATTTCGTTTAAGCCATGAAATGTATAAAGATCTACAAACTTTTCGAGGTATCTGTTAACTTCTTGCAATACTTGAAATTTGAGTCGATGTATTCAGGCAATAAATTTTGCGCATAGTTTTTAGTTCGAATCAGTTACTAACAATTATTGCACGTTTCGTTGTTCTGCAGTTGCAACACCATGGAATGAATGAATTTATAAAGCTTTTTTGTTTTTATAATGTAAAGTATTGGAATCCAAAGAAGATTATGTTTATTTAATAAAAAAGGATAACTCCAAGAAAAATTACTCCAATTGGAACAATTAGGAAAACACGATTATACATTTTGCTAGTGATCATAAGATATTATATAAAATTTATTTTTCAATTTCGTTTCTTTTATTATGATATCACAATGAAAAATTTCGCTGCAATGTACATCGTTAACAATAAACAAAGAAATAAACTGAATATGAGCTATGTACATTTTTATTTATTTGTAATGAATAATTAATATATTTACAATATACTATTAAATATTGATATATTTATTAACTTTAATTTATTATTAATATAATTGGCAATACATTTACGATTGATATATTTATATTATATTACAAGATAGTATGTTAGAATATATTATAATATAATATATTAATATATTTGTATTTATAATATATTATATTTATTAATATATTTATCAATATTAATTTTATTTACTGATAAGTATGAAGAAGGTTTTTTTGATATTAGATAATTAATTTCTTTTTACTAAAACAGAAGATGAATAATAACTTGCATAAAATAAAAATGCAATTTTTCGTTTTTACTTATTGGAAACTAATAAATTCTATATAAGTACCTTCAAATCAAAAGGTTTTCAGATTTTTCTGCCAGCTAACAACTATATACACAGGCAGAGGTGACGAGGTATTTTCTGTTACTTATTACTCAAATTGCTTCAAAAAATGGAAGAAGCAATGTCGAAAAACGGGAAACGAGTTATCCTCGATCGAATATTTCATTCTGTTTGACGATATTGTTATTGATATTTAAACTTAACCTATAAATGTTTGTTCCTACTTCTGACATAACCTACAAAATTCTAATCATTGCAGAAGAATGGCAAGAGAACCGGACGAGGAGCTCAGGAAGGCTTTCTCGCAGTTGCACGAGAAAATGATCGACACCACACAGAAGTTGAAACTCGCGGATCTGCAAATTGAAAAGCTAAAACGATCGAAGCAGTTCGCTGAGCTGACGACAAAGGAGATAACCTCTTATCCAAAGAACACGAAGACGTATGAGTCGGTGGGCCGTATGTTCCTCCTGGACGATATGGACAACATAAAAGCTGGCCTAGATAAACGTATAAAGAACGCCGACGAGAAGGTAAAAACATTAGAGAACAACAAGACGTACTTGCAGCAGAACTTGAAGGAATGCGAGAACAATATCAGAGAAATGATTCAGCAAAGACAGAATAAAGACACGTCCGGCTAGGTCTGTCATTTCCCTGTTGAAATTGTCGTCTTCTTTCTTCGTCGTTTTTTCATTGCAATTCATCGCCGCGTTCTTGAACTCACGCTACGCTTAATCCTCAATTTCACATACCAATTATGAGTGAAACGCGATTTCACACAACTTGAAATATATGTAATGCGTACCGTTTTATTGTATTTAGACGATCTCCACCATAGCATTTTGTAATGATTGTCTGCGTGTTGATCAATAAAACTTTTTATTACAAACTCTCGGCGCAATTGGAATTGAATATGCAACTAGCAATCGGGTTTCTAGTTATTAATTTATTCCAGCAGAATTGATACATACAACAAACGATTTTTCTTACTTCTTTAAATTCACCTTGTACTCATTCATTCCTCTCATTCTTTTCGACACTTTCATCCAGAAAATTCCTTAGCTAAACCCTAAATTACCCTAAAAAACAAACAAAAAAAAAAAAAGAAAAAATACCTTGCACGCCAACACGCAGCAATTTAGTAAATCGTTTACCCGGAAAGTAAAATTCTCTAACGTGTCTGAAACCTGGGATAGAAAAAATTGAACAAGTATGCTTACTCGGTGTGTTTCTTGCGTTTTACAATTATATTTGTAATCGGCTTTTTTCTTCTTTTTCTTTCTTTTTTTTTGTTTAACTAATATAATGCATGGGGTGACGTGCCTTCCAACCTTATATTGAAAGTGCTACAATATGTATGTATATATGTGTATATGTACTTTAGCATATGGTGCGGTAGAAAGTAACTCGACAAGTATATACAAAGTATATTTATCAAACAATCACGGCATTATCAAATCCGAATCTAGGTCGTGTTTTTTATACTCGGTGGCGTGACCTTTCTCAAGTAAAATAATCGGTCCGTATTGGATTGAATTCGTGTATCAGAATCGTCGTATATATCACCGTGCGCATTATAATATTTAAGTATCAAACAGACTTTGTGCCTCCGTTTTCTTCGACATGGTACTTACACAATGGGATATATTTGTTTCTTAAAAAAAAAAAAAGAAAAAAAAGAGGAAAGAATTGAAACTGAAAGTTCGGCTGTTAAAAGTGTCTACGTACGAAGAGTCTCGTCTATTCATGTGAGAATACCCATGCATTACAATAGCATGTATAGCGTGTAAGAAACGAACTCTCTCGGATACAACGTGTGAATGTCAGTCTTAACTAAAATAATTGCCATTATTCGTCGTGTGTGGTGCTCTTACGTCTCCAATGACGATACTCGGTATCATTTGGCATGCGATCCGTGAATCGAGACCTTTGTATTCACAAGTACGCATACCGGATGGGCAGGCTTCGACTAATTAAGTTTCTCCGGCATCCATCAGGATAGATAAAATATCTTTGCGGAAAAAAGAAGTTGCGGATAAATTATGCCGTACGAATCAACCGTCCGAATTAATTAGCGCACCTTACGTTTTAACTGCGTTAAATCCGTGTAAATCTATATTGGTTCCTTAAATAAGTTGTTACCTTTGTTTCTATTAAGTAAAATGTAGTTATCGTGTTACGATACGATACACACGTCGGTCAATGAAGAAATACAAATCATACTCTTAATTAGCTTAAGAAAATAATTTATGCCGCTTTCTACAAAGACCGTATATGTATAAATACAAAAAAAAAAAAAAAAAAAAAAA